ACCTGATTGAAGGGGAAAAAATCCAAGCGTATACTAAGGGGCTAAAAATGGAAGTCCGCCAACATGTGATTGCCGCGAACTACATGTTAGAGACTAAGGACGGAGTCTAGGAAGATAAGGAGCCGAAAATATCTCAAAATCGTTGGTCTACAACTCTGGACAGAAATGTTGACTTCACAAGAAACGTTGTCGACAGAACAAACACTGTTAGAATTCTGTCAAACTCGAGTATATTGTAGCCCTTGAACGTGGCTATCTTTCCAAATTTGAATCGTATCAAATGATGAAGTATATCTCGAGTTACGATTTTCGGCACACTAGGGGGTATGTTGCCATAGGAACATAAATCAATCACAATTAACTCACAAGTTCACACAAGAAAGTTGGAGTAGCTAGAAACCAAGTAGGAGGGGAAGAGGAGGACGTGAGGAGAGGTCCCCAAGGAGTCCCCAACCAGGGAAACCCCATAAGCACATCAAATCCCCGCAGTATGAGCACACGCAAATGGCCACAAGGCCAGTTCATCTGCAGAGTTTTATACATATAGGAGAACAAGCAGTACAGTGATCACAACCTAGCAAGTGTAAGCATGCAGGTATTGTGAAAGAATGAGGAATGATTTACTAGAGGAAAGGGTTGGGTACAAGTACAAACCCTAGAAATGTGTTGTACCCCATATGTGCTACCCCACTATAGCCTACATAGGCTAAGTCATATAAGTCTGACACACCCCCATAGGCAAAGTGGGGGAGAACAAGGGCCACAAGACAAGTCAAGCAAAGCAAAGCAAGCTCAGGGTGGATCACAACGCCACCACACATTCCGAGCACAAGTTCAAGGCAACAAGGTAAAGGTAAAGATCATATATAAAGGTAAACAAGCAAGTGCAGGGATAGAAAGATCACCGTACAAGCAAGGTCAAGAAGTGAGCAAGTGAGGCACAAGACCTAGCATCGTATAGCAGCACTGATGATCACAAGGCGGAAGTGCCTTGGTAAAGATATCAGCAGTGTTGGCCTCAGAGGCCACGTAAGCAAGGCGCAGCTGACCACGCTGCTGCATCTCATGAGCAAGGAAGTAGCGAAGAGCAATGTGCTTTGTTCTGTGCTCAAGTCTGTGCTCCCGACACATGGCCAGCATGGCCTTGCTGTCTACGTACAGAACTAGAGGAGAACGAGGCGGCTCTCCTAGGTCAGTCAACAAGTAGGTGAGCCAGCTTAGCTCCTGTGCAGCCATGGCCCCCGCGTAGATCTCAGCCTCACAGCTTGAGCCGAGAACAGAAGACGAGCGGGTAGACCGTCACGAAACAGAACTGGAACCAAGGCTAAAGGTGTAACCCTGTGATGACCGCTGCGTAGCCTGGTCGTCAGCCCAAGAAGCGTCTGCGTGACTTCAAAGGACCACTGAACGCCGCCCTCCAAGCACTAGCCTTATGCCCAACGTACTGCACAAGTAGCGCAACACCCTCTTCGCTGCAGCCATGTGCTCTGGTCGGTGTCTCCCAGGAGCAACATAGCGTGCCAAGATGCTAAGAGGGTATGCAAGGTCAGGTCGAGTGCAGGTCATCAGGTACATGAGGCAGCCAACAAGCTCTGGGTACGGGCCACTCGGCTCTACGGACTCATCCGAAGGCAGAGCTGAGAGCGAGTGGCGAGTAGACAAAGGAGTGGCCTGAGGCGAGGAGTACGTAAAGTTGAAGCGCTGAAGGACCTGCTGCACCATGTGTGACTGAAACAGGGTAATGGTGCGCTGTGCTCTGTCCGAGGTGATCTGCAAGACAAGGTAGCTATGCAGTTCACCCAGGTTTGTGCACGTGTGTCTCTTCTGCAGCTCGGACTTCACGTGGGCGAGTCCAGCAGTGTCAGCAGTGGCAAAGACCAAGTCGTCGACGTACACGAGGATGTAGAATGGCGGCAAAGAGGTGTCGGTGCGCATAAACAGCGACGGGTTGGCAGTGGAAGGAGCAAACCCAAGAGCCGCAAGTGTAGTCCTCAGTGTGTCGTGCCACTCACGGGGCGCCTGGCGGAGACCGTAGAGTGGCCGCCGGAGGCTCCACTGGGTACCAGGAGGAAACGACCCAGTGAAGCCAGGTGGGCGGTGAAGCCACATCTCCTCATGCAAGCTGCCCTGCAAGAAAGCTGTGCTGAAGTCAAGAGAGTGAAGCTCGTAGTCGCGCTGAGCGGCTATGTGCAGCAGCACCCGAAGAGTGGTCATCTTCGAGGTGGGAGAGTCGGTCTGAAAGTAGTCAACTCCCAGCCGCTGACTGAAGCCTCGAGCCATGTAACGCGCCTTGAAGACAAGCGGAGAACCCGGCGGCCGCTTCACCCTGAAAATCCACATGCCACTGACGATGTTCGCCCCAGGTGGGGGAACCTCGTCGACGTAGGTGCCTGTGGACTTCCAGGAAGCCATCTCAGCGTCCATGGCTGACTGCCACTGAGACGATTAGGGACCCTCGATCGCCTCAGCGTACGATCGAGGAGTCGGGATATCTGGTGCATCCGGTTCTCCCTCAGGGGCAATCAGCGTGGACACGAGATGAGGCAAAGCAGCAGCAAAACGCTGGAAATCCTCCTGCCTGTCCTCAAGGACGTCCGTGCTAAGAGCACACTCACCCCCGACGGACGGAGGACAGATAGACTCAGACTCGGCAACAAGACTAGCGACGTAGTCTAGACGAGATCGAGCAGCAAAGTCGACAAGCTCAGCAACCAAGGTAGACGCAGCAGCTGACTCAAAGGAAGGGTCAGTGACAACAGTAGCCAGGAGACGCGTGACAGTAGGACTGGCAGCACGAAGAGAGTCAGACTCCGGGTCAGCAAGAACAGGAAGAGAGGACTCTGGAGGAGACGGCAACGGGACACGCAGAGGAGCAGTGGAAGGACGCAATGCCATCTGGTGTGTGCCTGGGACCGTAGGAGGACGCGGACGCGGAGTACGACTACTAGTGCGAGCAGAACGAACAGGCGACGCAGGATGGACGCAGGCTCACGACGCTCAGCAAGACCTCCAGTAGGACCAGTGTAGGGAGAAGGAGCAGGCAGGGGGGAGGCGGGCTGTAACTGTGACTGTGACTCGACAAGCCGTAGACACTCTAAGGGAGGAGCAGGACCAGTAGAAGGCGGGAGACCAAGAACCTGCTCAAGGAGCGGAACGAAGTACGGCCGCGGCCGCGGAGTGCCTCCAGAACCAGCAAGGACAGCACCATTATCCCCAGCGGCAGCACCAGCGCCAGCAGCACCTCCAGCTCCAACAGCGCCAACTCTAGCACCCTCAGAAGCACCAGCGCCAGCAGCACCTCCAGCGCCAACACCCCCAGCAGCTCTAGCCCCAGCAGCTCCAGCTCCAGCTGCACCAATTCCAACAGGACCGCCAGCTCAAGTACTGCTAGCAGCTCCAACACCAGGAGCACCTCCAGGCCCAGTAGCTCCAGTACCACCAGTACGAGCACCTCCTGGACCAGTGGCTCCAGTAACTGCAGTGCCGACCCCAGGGTCAATAGCAACAGTAGCACCTCCAGCTCCGGCAGCACGGCTCCAGCGCCGGTCAAACCACTCGCGTAGCTCCTGTGGAGAGGGTAGCTCCCGCCTCGACGAAGCACCCGAAGGGCCCCCTAACCCAGCAACGCCAGAGGCCACACGAGCAGACCCAGCACCCCGAGGCTCCGCACCCCCAGGCTCAGCACCCCCAGGCTCCGCACCCCAAGGCTCCGCACCCCCACGCTCAGCACCCCCAGGCTCAGCACCCCCAGAATAAGCACCCCCAGACTCAACACCCCTAGGCTCAGCACCCCTAGCAGCACTAGAGTCAACAGCTACCTCAACATGCTCGACTGCGTCTACCTGGGAAACAACTGACGGGGCAGGACCCTGAGGGGGGAGAGGGTCTACCGGGGGAGGACCTGGCGCAAGGAAGAGCAGCGGCGGGGGGAGGGGCGCAGTGTGGTAGGGGAAGAGACGGTAGTAAGGCACCGACTCGTCAAAGGTGACGTCCTGGGAGGACAGAACACGGCGCGAGGTGGGGTGGCAAAAACTGCCAACCAGGCGCGTTAGGGGGGAAGACAAGGAAGACGCAGAGAACTGCACGGGGGGACAGCTTGTCCGCAGACAAGTCGCGGACAAACGCCCGAGATCCCCAAACACGAAACGCACACGCATCGCCAACCTTCCTCGTCCACCGCATGGTGGGGGAGGTCTCTGGCAAGGAGGTTGATCTGATGCGCTGCGTACTGAACCGCAAACGGCCACAGAAAATGGGGAGCAGCTGCATGGATCATGGGCGTACGAGCGACGTCCATGACCATGCCAATGCGGCGCTCAACAATCCCATTTTGCTGTGGAGAGGCCGGAAGCGTGAAACTTTGGCGGATGCCCTGTGCACGTCAGAAGGCTCCCAGAAGGGCAGAGGAAAACTCCCCGCCTCTGTTAGAGTGCAGACGCAGAACTGGAAAGTCCGAGCCGAAACTCTCTCTGAGCTAGAGACGAGCTGCGTGGATCCAATCGATCAACACCTCAGTGACGTCACCCTTGCTGTGCAAGGGGAAGACCGTGGTGTAACGCGAGTAGTCGTCAACCACCAACAGGAAGTAACGCTCGTTACCCTGGCCACGGACGCGAGCGGGGCCCCACACGTCCATGTGAAGAGTCTGCAGCGGAGCCTCTGTCGGAGGAAACTCGGAGGAGTGAGGGGCGGCGCGCTGTCGCCCCTCGACGCAGGGGACGCAGGTAGGGGCAGGCCCCGGAGGTAGGGGAGGGAGAGACCGGAGGAGACCAGAGAGAAGGACACGGGAGGCCATGCCTTGGAGACGAGGCAAGGAGGGGTGACCAAGGCGGCAGACGCACTAGCACCTGGGGCAGCAGACGCACTAGTTCCTAGAGCAGCAGCCTCACGAGCACCTAGAGCAGCAGCCTCAATGCCCGGGTCTGGCGGAGCACACAGGTAACAGTCACCCTCATCACTAGTAGACACAACATACATGGCAGCAAGAATGGCATCATAATCTAGATCAAAGATAGAAACCCCCGACCTAAGCAGCTCGCCCCAGCGGGGGATCTCAGTGGCGTGAGGGAACTGGAGACGCCAAGCGTCCGTCAGGCGGCCGAAGCAGCGCTGGCTGGTGTGCGGGCCACTGCACGGCTCACCAGTGCGGTCGCCGGTACGTAGGACGTAGGCACCTCCACCTCGCTGACGCGCAGCGTGTCACTCACGAAGCTGTTAGGGGGGCGGGGTCTCACGAGTGAGCTGTTGCTGCTGGCGCTAACCACCACCTAAGCCGCCCCGCTGTGCAGAGCCACCCCGACCAGCTCCACCTCCGCCGCCGCCACCATCGCCTCCTCCTCCGCTCCCACCGCCACCCCGCCGCCGCCTCCGCCGCCACCGCCGCCACCGAAGCCCCAACCCCCGCCACCACTCCCACCGCCACCCCCACTCCCTCCGCCGCCTCCACCGCCACCTCCACCGCCCTCGCCAGCCCCTCCAGCGCCCTTGCCCCCCTTACCATTGCCGGTGCGGCGTCTCCCGCTAGGGGCAGACGCAGCGCCGACCGGCTCGGTGCCAACGAAGTCGACGGCAGCAGCAGAGGCAACAGAGGGCAAATGGGGGGAGGGGGAGCACCCCTCAAAGAAGGGGGCACGAGGGTCACCACGAGAGGCTCCTACAGCCACCATCCTCTTCTCAGCTGCCAGGAGGCGCTCCTCGAGGAGGTCAACGGTGAGCGTGGTGGGGCAAACAGAGAGGAAGTGGTCCTTGACTGAGCGAAGGGAGTCAGGGAGCCAGGTGACTATGTAGTAGAGGGTGATGTACATGGGGGGGGGGGGGTGGTTCTTGGCGCAGAACTCAGCAAGAAGCGCAGCGCGGTAGCAGGTGTCACTAGTGCGAAGGTGCGTAATGAGGTCAGCGACTGTGGGAAAGGCGGCGAGGTCAGGAAACAGGTACGGAAGCATGAGGCGGCTAAGGGCAGCAGTGGCAGGGGAAGAGTAGCGTGCAACTACAGCATCGTACAAGGACTTAGCACTCTTGTACTGACTAAAGTGCGCGCGCTCAGTTGACGGCAAGTGACTACGCACAGCAAGACGGGCAGCAGCATCCCATGTGGCCCACTGTGAGCGAACAGTGCTGTTAGCATCGGCAGCAGGGGCAGCAGAGGCGCTAGACGTGAGATCGAATAGTGAGAGACCGTCCTTCCTATCGCACTGTAGGAAAAGGTGTAGATCATCGACCCAGACCTCAAAATCAACAGCCCGACCCTCAGCATCAAAGTCTAGAACGCTAGGGGTAGCCATGATAGTAGTGGCAGCAGGCTAGGGGCAGCAGTAGCAGGGGTGGCTCGGTAGTGCTCTAACCAGGGTTGGTAGGTAGGGGCCGGCAAGTGGTGGGGCAGGGGCGAGGCACGTCGGCAGGGACAGAGCCGCGACCGCGGCGGCAACTCCTGCTGTCAGTGGCGGCAGCAGTCGTGGCTGTCGGCGGCGACGACTGCTGTTGTCGGCGGCCGCCGCTGCTGTCGGCGGCGTCGGCTGCTGTCGGCTGCTGCTGGCGGCGGCGGTGGCTGCTGCTGGTGGCGGAGGAGCCGAGAAGGGGCCGCAAGGGGTCGCGAAGGGCGGCGACGGGGCCGCTAGGGGCGGCGACGGTGCCGCGAAGGGCGGCGACGGGGCCAAGAAGGGGCGGCGTCGGGGCCAAGAAGGGGCGATGTCGGGGCCGTGAAGGGGGCGCGAGAGGCCTCGAATGGCGGCGATGCGGCCGCTAGGGGCGGCGACGGGGCCGCGAAGGGCGACGACGAGACCGAGAAGGGGCAGCAAGGGGCCTCGAAGGGCGGCGACGGGGCCGCTAGGGGCGGCGTCGGGGCCGCGAAGGGGCCGCGAGGGGCCAAGAAGGGCGGCGACGGGGCCGCTAGGGGCGGCGACGGGGCCGTGAAGGGGCCGCGACGGGGCCGCGAAGGGCTGTGAGAGGGGCTGTGAGGGGCTGTGGGAGGGGCCGCTACGAGGCCGTAAGGGAGCGCGACGGGCCGCTAAGGGCAGAGGACGCGACGGGAGGGTAGGCACACGGGGCGTGACTCGGGCAGGGGCGAAGCGCGCTCCACGTAGGATAAAAAAGGTCAATTTTCGGTGGGTCCTAGGAAACGCTCCCACTAGGGAACCTGCTCTATACCATGTGAAAGAATGAGGAATGGTTTACTAGAGGAAAGGGTTGGGTACAAGCACAAACCCTAGAAATGTGTTGTACCCCATATGTGCTACCCCACTATAGCCAACACAGGCTAAGTCATATAAGTTTGATAGGTATATGTATATAGATCACAGTACAAGCAAAGTCAAGAAGTGAGCAAGTGAGGCAAAGTAGGCACCAGGCCTAGAGCAGTACAGAAACGCTGATGATCACAAGGCGGAAGTGCCTTGGTGAAGATATCAGCAGTGTTGGCCTGAGAGGCCACGTAAACAAGACGAAGCTGACCACGCTGTTGCAACTCTTGAGCAAGGAATTAGCGTAGAGGGATGTGCGTCGTTCTGTGCTCCAGTCTGTGCTCCTGGCACAAGGCAATCATGGCCTTGCTGTTGCCGTACAGAACTGGAGGAGAACGAGGCGGCTCTCCCAAGTCGGTCAGCAGGTAGGTGAGCCAGCGTAACTCCTGTGCAGCCATGGCCCCTGCGTAGATCTCAGCCTCACAACTGGAGCAGAGAACAGAAGACAAGCGGGTAGACCGACATAAAACAGAATCGGAGCCAAGCCTGAAGGTGTAACCCTGTGACGATCGCTGCGTAGCCAAGTCGTCAACACAAGAAGCGTCTGCGTGACAAGTGAGGACAACTCGAGCCCATCCTTCAAGCACGAGCCCCATGCCCGACGTACTGCACAAGTAGTGCATCACCCTCTTAGCAGCCTTCCAGTGCTCTCGGGCGCAACGTAGTGTGCCTGGATGCTAAGAGGGTAAGCAAGGTCAGGTCGAGTGCAGGTCATCAGGTACATGAGGCAACCCACAAGCTCTGGATACAGGCCACTCGGCTCTACGGACTCATCCGAAGGCAGAGCTGAAAGCGAGTGAACGGTAGGCAGAGGACGAGGAGAACTGGAAGTCGAAGCGCTGAAGGACCTGCTGCACCATGTGAGACTGAGTCAAGGTAATAGTGCGCTGTGCTCTGTCCTGGGTGATCTGCAAGCCAAGATACATACGGAGCTCACCCAGGTCTGTGCACGTGCGTCTCTTCTACAGCTTCGAATTCACTTGGGCCAGTCCAGCGGTGTCAGCAATGACAAAGACCAAGTCGTCGATATATACGAGGATGTAGAACAGCGGCAGCGAAGTGTCGGTGCGTAGAAACAGCGAAGGGTCAGCAGTAGAAGGAGCAAACCCAAGAGCCGCAAGTATAGTCTCAGTAGATCTCCTCCTGCAGGCTGCCCTGTAGGAAAGCAGTGCTGAAGTCAAGAGAGTGAAGCTCGTAGTCACGCTGAGCGGCGACGTGCAGTAGCACCCGAAGAGTGGTCATCGGGTGACTAAAGCCTCATGCAACGTAACGCGCCTTGAAGACAGGCGGAGAACTCGGCGACGGCTTCACCCTGAAAATCCACATGTCACTGACGATGTTCGCCCCAGGTGGGGGAACCTCGTCAACGTAAGTGCCTGTGGAGTTCCAAGATGCCATCTCTGCATCCATTGCTGACTGCCACTGAGAGGAGTAGGGACCCTCAATCGCTCTGCGTAAGAGCGCGGGGTCGGGATGTCTGGTGCATCCGGGTCTCCCTCAGGTGTAATCAGCATGGATACGAGATGAGGTACAGCAGTTGCAAAGCACTCAAAGTCCTCCTGTCTGTCCTCAAGGACGTCCATGCCAAGAGCACACTCTCCCCCGATGGACGGAGGACAGACATACTCAGACTCAGCAACAAGACTAACGGCGTAGTCAAGTCGACAGCGAGCAGCAAAGTCAACCAGCTCAGCAACAAGAGCAGACGCAGCAGTAGACTCAAAGGAAGGGTTAGTGACAACTGTGGCCAGTAGGCGCGTGACAGTAGGACTGGCAGCACGAAGGGAGTCAGACTCCGGGTCCAGACCGTCAGCAAGGGAGGACACAGGAGGAGAAGGCAGAGGGACACGGAGTGGAACAGAGGAAGGACGAAGTGTCATCTGGTGTGTGCTGGGGGCAGGAGGAGGACGCTGGCGCGGAATACGAGGACCAGTGCGAACAGCGCGGACAGGCGACGCAGGATGAGACGCAAGCTCACGACCCTCTGTAAGACTTCAGGCTGCTCAGTCTAAGGAGACGGAGCAGGTTTCGGAGAGGCTGGCTGTAACTGCGGCTGGGACTGGTCAGGCGGTGGACACAGTAAGGGAGGAGTAAGGCCAGTAGGAGGGAGACCAAGAATCTGCTGAAGCAGAGGAACGAAGTACGGTCGCGGTCGCACAGTACCTCCAGCACCAGCACCGACAGCATTAGCACCCCCAGGGCCAGCACCTCCACCAGCTCCAGCTCCATTGGCTCGAGCTCTAACTCCTGTAGCACTGCCAGCTCCAGCAGCTCCAACTCCAGCAGCACCTCTGGCTCTAGCTCCAGTAGCACTCCAAGCGCCAGCAGCTCCAGTACCTCCAGTACGAGCACCTCCAGGACCAGCGTCTCCAGCAGCTCCAGTACCTCCAGCAGTTCCATCTCCAGCAGCACCCCCAGCTCCAGCAGCTCCAGTACCTCCTATATGAGCACCTCCAGGACTAGTGGCTCCAGCACCTCCAACAACTCCAGCTCCAGCAGCTCCAGCACCTCCAGTACGAGCACCTCCAAGACTAGCGGCTCCAGCACCTCCAGTAGCACCAGCTCCACCAGCACCTCCAACTCCAGCAGCTCCAGTACCTCCAGTACGAGCACCTCCTAGACCAGGGGCGGCAGCACCTCCAGCAGCACCAGCTCTAGCAGCACCTCCAGCACCAGCAGCACCGCCGGCTCCAGCAGTGTTACTCTGAAGTCTCCAGCGCCAAGCAAACCACTCGCGCAGCTGCGGTGGAGAGAGTGTCTCCCACCGTGACAAGACACCCGGAGGACCTCCAGAATACAAAGTACCTCCCGGCGCAGCACGCTCAGGCTCAGCACCCCCAGGCTCAGCATCACTACAGCTGCACGTAGGGGCGCTGAGGTGGAAGCCAACGTTGCCGATCACGAACATCAAGGGTTTAGATTTCACCTTCGGGCAAGATTTCCTGAAGCGGTTCAACCCCGAGATCGATTGGGTCAACAAGAAGGCGTGCATCTACAACAACGGGAAACGAGTGGAGTTGCGAAGCTGGACGGATACAGGTGACGTTCCAGAAACAACACTTACACGGAACGGACGATGAACCAGAGTAACACGGGCTACTTAGCACTGGAGAGGAGCAGCAGAGTAGGAGCCAAACACCGAGCTATCTGCATCAGTAAAGGAGGTGTTGGAGCAGTACAAAGACATCATGCTAGACAACCTACCTGCAGGAGTACCTCCAGCGCGCACCCACGAGCACAGGATCGTGGAGGAACCAGGTGCGAAACTTGTCTCACGTGGACCAGACCGACTGAGTCCGACAGAACTGACAAACATGAAGAAGCAGATCGAGTATCTACTGTATAGACAACTGATCCCCCCATCCACCTCTCGCTACGGTGCACCAGTTCTCTTCACTCCAAAACCAAGTCGGCAGTTTACGGATGCGCATCGACTACCGCGCACTAAACAAACAGACAGTAAAAAAACAAATACCCCATAATGCGCATACTCGATCTTCTAGACCAACTACGTGGAGCAGCTGCATTCTCGACGGTGGACCTTCGGTCGGGTTACTGGCAGATCAAGTTCGCAAACAATCCGGTCCACAAGACGGCGTTCTGTACCAGATACGGCTCCTATGATTACTTGGTGATGCCGTTCGAACTCTGCAATGCACCAACAATGTTCCAGGCGGTCCTACGACCCCTGCTAGACGAGTGTGTGGTGGTGTACGTGGACGACATTCTCATATACTCCAAAAACTTGAAGGAGCACGTGGAGCATCTGCGGAAAGTCTTCAAGATCCTACAGAAAAAACAAGTTCTATGTGAAGTTGTCGAAGAGCGACTTTGCCCTGAAGAATGTACAATTTCTCGGGCACATGGTGAGTGCCGAGGGTGTACACGTAGACCCGCGGAAGATCGAAGCCGTCAAGAAGTGGAAAGTGCCGGAATCCGTAAAGGAGTTGCAGCTGTTCCTAGGCTTCACCAACTACTACAACAGGTTCATGCCACAGTACACCAAGATAGCAGCGCCACTGACCAACCTATTGAAAAAGGATACG